AAAAAAAAAAAAAAAAAAATCCCAAGGGACACCTGCCACAGAACCACTGGGAACCGCAGCATGGCCACAGAGGAACCCTGTGGGGACACAGCCACTAGGTGGCACCAGGGAGGCTGGCCCATTCAGAACCCCGTCTCTGCGGCTGGACTCTGCCTGGGGTGTCCAGGAGGACATTCGGCTGGATGGCCAAGGGTGGACAGAGCAGCTGAGGGATTGAAGTACCCGGGGCTCAGACAGACACTTGCACACCCCTGTTCGCAGCAGCACGACTCAATAGCCAAAGGGTGGAGGGAACCCAGGCGCCCATCCCCAGATGGGTGGAGAGATGACCTGTACCTCCTGCAATGGAACGTGACTCCGCCTGAAAAGGAATTCTGACACAGGCCACAGTGTAGCTGCACCTTTAGGACGTCATGCTCCGTGAAAGAAGACTGGCACAAAAGGACAAACACGTAGGGTGCAGTGGCTCATGCCTGTAATCCCAGCACTTTGGAAGGTGAGGAGGGCGGATCACCTGAGGTCAGGAGTTCGAGGCTAGCCTCACTAACGTGGGGAAACCCCATCTCTACTATAAATATAAAACTGGCCGAGTGCGGTGGCTCACACCTGTAATCCCAGCACTTTGGGATGTTGAGGCTGGCGGATGATGAGGTCAGGAGTTCGAGACCAACCTGACCAACATGGCGAAACCCTGTCTCTACTTAAAGATACAAAAATTAGCTAGGTGTGGTGGCACGTGCCTGTAATCCCAGCTACTTGGGAGGCTGAGGCAGGAGACTTGCTTGAACCCAGAGGTGGAGGATGCGGTGAGCCAAGAGTGTGCCGTTGTAGTCCAGCCTGGGCGATGGAGGGAGACTGTCTGTGTGTGAGCCCAGCCCGCGCTGTTCTACTTTAGGACTGTGTGCTGAATGAGGCAGTGGTGAGAAAGGTGCACGGCCGGGAGAATGTGCTGGAAGCCGCTGAGCTGTGCAGCTAAAGTGCTTACAGTGGTCCATTTTCTCTTTTGTGTATTTATTTTTTCTGAGATGGAGTCTCACCCTGTTGCCTGGGCTGGAGTGTAGTGGGGCAGTCTCAACTCACTGCAACCTCTGCCTCCCAGGTAAAAGTGATTCTCCTGCCTCAGCCTCCCAAGTAGCTGGGCTTACAAGTGCCCGCCACCACACCAGGCTAATTTTTTTTGTATTTTTAGTAGAGACGGGGTTTCACCATGTCGGTCAGGCTGGTCTCGAACTCCTGACCTCAGGTGATTCCCAAAGTGTTGGGAGGCCCCTCAGGTCAGCCTCTCTGGTCAGATCCAGAATTGAGGCCTTGGAAGCGCATCAGGGCTCCAAACTCACACTTACTTCCCGCCCTTTTCCTGGAACCAGCAGAATATGAACCCTGCTGGGGAGGGGCAGAGCAAGTACTCTAGGAGGCTAGGACCCCCGGGGATCCCACTGCAGGGAGCACCTGCCCATACTCTGGCCCAGCCTTCCTCAGTGGGGTGACCTTGAGCCCCCAGCCCCGTCTCTGGCCTTCCTCTTGGCATCTGGGAGGGGGCTGGTGCCCATGGAGTGCTCAGTGTTGTGGAGGACACCCCAAACAGTCCACGTTGGGTGGCCGTGGCATGCACTAGTTCCAGGGGCTCACAGTTCCACCAGACTCCCACTCCACAGCAGGCTGGGCCTGAGTTCCACGGGCAGAGGGTCAGATGGGGGCACCCTCTCCCCACCTCAGGGTGTCCCCCACAAAAATACTCAAGTCCTAACACCTGGTACCAGTGAATAGGACCTTATTTGGAAATAGGGTAGATGTCATTAGTTGCGATGCAGATGCAGAGGTAATGAGTTACAGTGACTGATATCCTGGAGGAGGGTGGGCCCTCATCCAGTGACAGGTGTCCTTATAGAAAAGACCGTAGGGCTGCTTACACAGCACTGTGGCTCATGCCTGTGATCCCCACACTTTGGAAGGTCTAGGTGGGTGGATCAGCTGAGGTCAGGAGCTTGGGACCACAGCCTGGCCAATATGGTGAAATCCCGTCTCTACTAAAAATACAATTAGCCAGGTGTGGTGGCGTGCTCCTGTAATCCCAGCTACTCCAGAGGCTGAGGCAGGAGAATCCCTCGAACCCAGGAGGCAGAGGTTGTAGTGAGCTGAGGTTGCACCACTGCACTCCAGCCTGGATGACATAGCAAGGCTATGTCTAAAAAAAAAAAAAAGGAGGCCGGTCGCGGTGGCTCAAGACTGTAATCCCAGCACTTTGGGAGGCCGAGGCGGGTGGATCACGAGGTCAAGAGATCGAGACCATCCTGGTCAACATGGTGAAACCCCGTCTCTACTAAAAATACAAACAAAAATTAGCTGGGCCCGGTGGCGTGCACCTGTAATCCCAGCTACTCAGGAGGCTGAGGCAGGAGAATTGCCTGAACCCAGGAGGCGGAGGTTGTGGTGAGCCGAGATCGTGCCATTGCACTCCAGCCTGGGTAAGAAGAGCAAAACTCCGTCTCAAAAAAAAAAAAAAAAAAAAGGAAAAAAGTGGGGAAAAAGGTAAGTTGCAACCAGGAGAAGCAGGACTCGGCCCAGCCCCCAACCCACTGAGGACAGAGGGCTGTTGGCCTAGGGGTGGCATCTGCAGGGGTGGAGGAGGCCATCGGGGCCCTCCCAGTTGGTCAGGCTGAGTAGCGGCAGCATAGGACATAGAACACCCATTTTGGGCCTCACGCCGCAGCTTGGATTTAGTTACACTCCGTCTGCAAAATGCATCCTGGGTTCAAGCACATCCTGGCCGAGGTCCTGCCTCTCTACCATTTCTCCCTCCCCAGGGGACGGCAATTCCATCTGCCTCCCAAGGTGGTGGCGAGGGCAGAAGGAAGGGTTCAGCGGGGCCTGGCGAGGTCTGGAGGCCCCCAACTGTGAGTCTTGTTTGATCCTAGGGTCTCAGACTTAGTCACCGCCAGGTCACGCTGGGTGGGGCGAGCGCTGCCCGGCGCCTCCAGGTCAGGGTCAGGACCTGGAGCAGGTGCTGGGTGAAGGCCTGAGTCTGCAGAGCCCGCAGCTGCTGTGCCCTTGACCATACACGGGCATGAAGCTGCTGCGATCACTATTAATAACCATGATGCCTGTGCCCGGGCCCAGGGTGACGGCCGCTATAAAGCCGGGCCTGCCAGCCCCAAGCGGCTCCTTCAGCCCCCGAGAACCTTAACCCCCCTGTTGTGAGACAAAAAGAAAAGTAAGTACCAAAACCATCTCCCCCGCCCCGTCCCTATGGTCAGCCTCGTGCAGAACACGGGCTGCGCTCGGTGGCCGGAAGTCAGACACAGAACAGTGGTCAAATGAGCTCCCCCCTCAAAGGACATCTGAAGCACAGATCGGGGTGGTACCTACTTGTCCCAGGCGGTTTGGTGGCCTCCAGGACAGCCCAGGCCCATCCCTCTCTAAGGAGCAGGGAAGAGGGCTGTGGGGGGCAGGGGTGAGGAGGAGGAGGCGGTGGCAGAGACTGAGCTGTTGGGGGCTTGACCTGCTCACTGCTTCTCGTCTAAGAGAGGACAGAGCCGGGGATTCCGCCACAGGCCAGGCGACCCCAACAATGCATGTGTCTTGCGATGACGTGGCCACCTCTGTGGCTCCCTCAATGTGGGAGGTGAATGGCAAGGATGTTGAAGTGGGGGGGTCCCTCCCTCCGGCCCTCTCCCCACCCCCGCCCCGGCTGTTCTGGGGTCTCCTGTCCCTCTTTGGGGCTTGAGGGTCCCTTTGGGGAGGACTTACAGGCCGGGTCCACAGTGAGCCCTGTGTGCACTGATTGCACCCCAAGGCGTCCGTGCTTCCAGAGCCGCCGGACCCCAGCCCGTCACCCCCTCCCCTACCTTGGAGGAGGTTGGGCTCATCCTCCCTGAAGCTCTGTGGTTTCTCGACCTCACCTCGCTGAATGCTGCAGAGTCTTAAAGGGGGCAGGGAGGAGACAAGGCCATTTCTTCGGAATCCACAGCTCCCCCAGAATGTGCAGGGTGGATCCTGTCTGGCCCCTTCAGCCCGCTTCTCCCCCAGGCCCTGGCTGGGGCCACAGCTAGCCCCAAGGACACCCCCTTAGGGACCTGGCAGAAGGGAGTCCAGGACACCCAAACTCAGTGGCCTTGGAGGTGATGGCTTTGGTCTCGGTGGGGGCCCTGGGGTGGGGGTGCTGGCAGCGCCAGCAGAGTAACTGCTGATTAAGGGGCCGACTGAGTGCTACTTGATGTGAGTGGCAGATGCTTGGGGGTGGGGTGGGGGGGGTGCCTGAAATAGAGTTGGGGGGAGGCCGGCAGGGAAGCCTCATCCCCCACACCTCCCAGGGCCTCTCTGCTTCCATCAGGGTGTCTCAGTCTCTCTCTTCATGTGGCCGGCAGGACTTTTGGGGACGGGCCCGAGGTCAGAGTCCCAGGGCTAGGCCGTCCCAGGGGAGTGGTCAGAGCAGGACGTCAGGTTCTCTGTGGAAGGGACTGTCTGACTGTGCACACACCCTCCAGAGCCTCCCAGGCAGGGAGGGGGCTGCAGACTGGCTTCCTAATGCCCCTGCCAGGTGATTTATCTCGTAATCCCAACACTTTGGGAGGCGGAGGTGGGAGGATCACTTGAGCCCAGGAGTTCGAGACCAGCCTGGGTAACAGTGAGATCCCGTCTCCACATAAAATTTAAAAATTAGGCTGGGCGCAGTGGCTCACGCCTATAATGCCAGCACTTTGGGAGGCCAAGGCAGGTGGATCACAAGATCAGGAGTTCGAGAGCAGCCTGGCCAACCCAGTGAAACCCGTCTCTACTAAAAATACAAAAATGAGTGGGGCATGGTGGCATGTGCCTGTAATCCTGGCTAGTCTGGAGGCTGAGGCAGGAGAATTGCTTTAACCAGGGAGGCGGAAGTTGCAGTGAGCTGAGATTGTGTCACTGCACTCCAGCCTGGGCGACAGAGCAAGACTCCATCTCAAAAAAAAAAAAAAAAAAAAAGGGGGGGGTGTGGTGGCAAATGCCTGTAGCCCTAGCTACTCGGGAGGCTGAAGCAGGAGGACTGCTTGAGCTCAAGACGTTGAGGCTCTAGTGAGCCACGTTGGTGCCACTGCATTCCAGCCTGAGTGACAGAATGAGACCCTGCCTCAAAACCCCCCCCCCAGGCCGGGCACAGTGGCTCAAGCCTGTAATCCCAGCACTGTGGGAGGCCGAGGCAGGTGGATCACGAGGTCAAGAGATCGAGACCATCCTGGTCAACACGGTGAAACCCCGTCTCTACTAAAAATACAAAAATTAGCTGGGCATGGTGGCGCGTGCCTGTAATTCCAGCTACTCAGGAGGCTGAGGCAGGAGAATTGCCTGAACCCAGGAGGTGGAGGTTGCGGTGAGCCGAGATCACGCCATTGCACTCCAGCCTGGGTAACAAGAGCGAAACTCCGTCTCAAAAAAAATAAAACCACCCCCCCCCAAAAGTTGCCTTCCCAATTGGAGAAGGAGGGCTCCGTCAGGGTCCTGCCTGCCTGCCACAGGCCCTGGGAACCCTGATACACCCCTCCCCGGCCCCTCAGAGGGAGATCCCTCAGATGACCTGGACCAGGTTCCCCACTGTGGGCACAAGACTCCCGCCCTCACATGGGAGCTCGCAAGGCCAGCTTTCAATGAGGCCCTCTACCTTCCATAGACCCCGTGGACTCCCTGTCACCTGGGTCCTGCAGGGGTCAAGGAGGGAGGCCCCTGGGCAGGGGACTTCTTTGAACAGAGCCAGGCTCCCCTCAGCCAGGTTGCCTACGCGCTGGGAGTGACTTGGTCCAGAGAGGTGTCAGCCACGGGACGGCACGGGGGCCTGTGTGTGAGGGTTCGTGCCTGTCCTGGAAACTCAGCCCCTTGCAGGGCCCACGATGGGTACTTCAAGGGAGCAGGACAGGATTATTATTATTATTATTTTTTGAGATGGAGTCTGGCTCTGTCACCCAGGCTGGAGTGCAATGGCGCAATCTCAGTTCACTGCAGCCTCCGCCTCCTGGGTTCAAGCGATTCTTCTGCCTCAGCCTCCTGAGTAGCTGGGACTACAGGTGTGCACCACCAAGGCTGGCTAATTTTTGTATTTTTAGTAGAGATGGTATTTCACCATGTTTAGCAGGCTGGGCTTGAACTCCTGACCTCAGGTGATCCACCCACCTTGCCCTCCCAAAGTGCTTGGATTGCAGGCATGAGCCACCATGCGCAGCCTGACAGGATCTTAACAGAGCACGGTGGACACCAACAGGTAAAAAAAAAAAAAAAACAGGACGCAGTTTAATATTTAAGCCGCAGCGAGGTCACAGAGGTGTCTTGGGGCTGAGTCCAGGAGCCTGGGGAAGCCCAACTGGAAGTGGGGCCTCCACCTTCCTACGTACAGAACCCCTCAGAGGGAAACAGTCACACAGTGTCGGGCTGGGATGCCGCAGGCCTGGCCGTTCTGTGGCCGCATCCATGTCCGCGTCCCTGGGGCCTGGCTGGGCAAGCGGGGGCTGGGGCTGGGAGCTCCTCCTGGGAGCAGTTCAGCAGCGAGTTCTGAATGTCTTCCAGGACCTCACGGAACAGCTCCTCCCGAGACTTCATGCCGTCCAGGTAGACTGCCATCAGAAAGGCCACGGTCAGGGCCGCCAGGAGGACAGGGACCAGAATACAAGGGGAAGAGTGGACGGTGGGGTCGGGAGGAAGGCGACGTGCAGAGCTGGGCTGCTGGAGTCAGTTTCCTGGACCACTGGCAAGAGGGACTGGGGACAAGACCCGGGGAGGAACATCGGGGTTTCCCTAAGGTCCTGTGTGGAGAACTGAAGGGTGTTTAGGATGGTGGCAGGCGTGGTGGCTCATGCCTGTAATCCCAGCACATTGGGAGACCGAGGTGGGGAGATCACCTGAGGCCAGGATTTCGAGACCAGCTTGGCCAATGTGGTGAAACCCCGCCTATACTAAAAATTGGGGGCTGGGCGTGGTGGCTCACGCCTGTAATCCCAGCACTTTGGGAGGCTGAGGCGGGCGGATCACCTGAGGTCAGGAGTTCGAGGCCAGCTTGGCCAATGTGGTGAAACCCCGCCTATACTAAAAATTGGGGGCTGGGTGTGGTGGCTCACACCTGTAATCCCAGCACTTTGGGAGGCTGAGGTGGGTGCCTCTACTAAAAATACAAAAATTGGGGGCTGGGTGCATTGGCTCACGCCTGTAATCCCAGCACTTTGGGAGGCTGAGGCGGGCGGACCACCTGAGGTCAGGAGTTCGAGACCAGCCTGGCCAACATGGGCAAACCTCTTCTCTACTAAAAATACAAAATTAGCCGGGTGTGGTGGCACGCGCCTGTGATCGCAGCTACTTGGGAGGCTGAGGCAGGAGAATGGCTTGAACCCAGGAGGTGGAAGTTGCAGTGAGCCGAGATTGCGTCATTGTACTCCAGCCTGGGCAACAGAGCCAAACTCCATCTTGGAAAAGATGGAGAGATGCTGGGCTCAGGGTCCCCACCAGGGCGAGGTCTGGTCACGCTGAGGGGCTTACCCACTTCCACACCGTTGGCTTCCATCTCCTGCCTGTACTTCCAGTACATGGGCCACACATGGCCGTCAAAGAGGCCGGGGGGATCGGGGACTGTGTAGTTGCGGGTACTGTAGCGGGAGAAGGCAAGGACAGCTTAGAGCACTGAAGGGCGTTGCCAACACTATACCCCGGTGGGGGCCTGAAAGCTGTCACAGCCATGGACAGCCGATGAGCAAGGGGACCCTTGGTCCGAAGCCCCGGGCTGGAAGCTCCGACTCCTGGCATGTTCACCCCGTGGAGATGCCTGGGGCAGGGGTGGGGTGGGCCGTGCTATCCAGGCCTCAGGTTCTGGGCACCTGGCACAGAGCTCCAGCCAGCTAAGTGCCTGCTGCCTGCGGCGTTGGGTGGCCTGTGTCCAGTGGCGTTTTCTTTTCCTTTTTTTTTTTTTTTTTTGAGATGGAGTCTTGCTCCGTTGTCCAGGCTAGAGTGCAGTGGCCCGATGTCAGCTCACAGCAACCTCTGCCTCCCGGGTTCAAGCCATTCTCTTGCTTAAATATCCCAGATAGCTGGGATTATGGGAGCCTGCCACCATGCCTAATTTTTATATTTTTAGTAGAGATGGGGTTTCACCATGTTGGTCAGGCTGGTCTTGAACTCCTTCCTTTAGGTGATCCACCCACCTAAGCATCCCCAAGTGCTGGGATTACAGGTGGGAGCCACCGTGCCTGGCTGCCTTTTTTTTTTTTTTTAAGACAAAGTCTCACTCTGTCAACTTGGAGGCTGAAGTGCAGTGTGCGATCTCGGCTCACTGCAACCTCCGCCTGTCAGGTTCAAGCGATTCTCCTGCCTCAGCCTCCCCAGTAGCTGGGATTACAGGTGCCTGTCACCACACCCAGCTAATTTTTGTATTTTTAGTAGAGACAGGGTTTCACCATGTTGGCCAGGCTGGTCTTGAACTCCTGACCTCAGGAGATCCGCCTGCCTGAGCCTCCCAAAGTGCTGGGATGACAGGCAGGAGCCACCGCGCCCAGCCCCCAGTGGTATTTTCTAGGTTACTGCTGGTCCCACCTGGGAATTCAGGCCAGGGCCCTCGGGAGCCCATCGCACCCCGGACACCAAGCACACCTTCTCCTCCACTTGCATTCTTCATACGGGATGGTCAGGAAGTAGCGGCGGCTGTGTAAGTCTACCAGGGGCCTGGGCGGGGCAGGGGAGACACGGTCAGCACCCGGGAGCTTTCCTTCAGCTGCGGTCAAAATACCCAGCCCCCCGGCCTTGGCTTTCAGAGGGTGGCAAGGGCAGGGGGTGGTCTGGGCCAGTGAGTTTAGGGGTCAGGGAGGGAAGTCACATGGGCCAGCATCCCTGCAGCAGCCCCCCAGAAAATTGAATCATGCTTCTTCTCCAACGTGGACGGGCACAGAGAGACAGAATGTCTTGTTCACGGTCACACAGTGAGGCCCAAGGGCCCAGCCTAGGTTACTGGTCTGTCTGAGAAGGCTGAAGTTCTAGAAGAAAGACTCAGTTTCCCCAAGAAGTATGGCTGTTTGCCCAGACGTTTTTTTTTCTTTTTTCTTTTTTTTTTTTTGAGATGGAGTCCCACCCTGTCACCCAGGCTGGAGTGCAGTGGTGAGATCTCGGCTCACTGCAACCTCCCCTCACTTGGTCCAAGCAATTCTCCTGGCTCAGCCTTCTAAGTAGCTGGGATTACAGGTGCATGCCACCACGTCTGGCTAATTTTTTTCTATTTTTAGTAGAGATGGGGTTTCACCTTGTTGGCCAGGCTGGTCTCGAACTCCTGACCTCAGATGATCCACCCGTGTCAGCCTCCCAAAGTGCTGGGATTACAGGCGTGAGCCACCTCGCCCGGGGCTTCTTTTTGTTTTTAGATAGATAGGGTGTGACTCTATTGTCCAGGCTGGAGTGCAGTTGTGCAGTTATAGCTCACTGCAGCATCAGACTCGCGGGGCTCAAACCATCCTCCCACCTTAGCTTCCCAAGTAGCAGGGACTGCAGGCGCACACTACCATGCCCAGGTAATTTTTTTTTTTTTTGAGACAGTCTCACTCTGTCGCCCAGGTTGGAGTGCAGTGGCATAATCTCAGCTCAGTGCAACCTCTGCCTTCCAGGTGCAAGTGATTCTCCTGCCTCAGCCTCCCGAGTAGGTGGGACTACAGGTGTGCACCACCACATCTGGCTCATTTTTGTATTTTTAGAAGAGATGGGGTTTCACCATGTTGCCCAGGTTGGTCTTAAACTCCTGACTTCAGGTAATCCACCTGCTTCAGCGTCCTAAAGTGCTGAACCACTGCACCCATCTCCCAGACTTGGGTTGATTCTGGCTCTGCCCCCGACTCCTGCCTTCCCATGACGGCTCCACCCCCAGGTCTCCTGTATGTTAAAACAAAGACGTAGGCCGGGCGCAATGGCTCATGCCTGTAATCCGGCTCATGCCTATAATCCCAGCACTTTTGGAGGCTGAGGTGGGTGTATTACCTGAGGTCAGGAGTTCACGACCAGCCTGATCAACATGGAGAAACCCAGTCTCTACTAAAAACACAAAATTAGCTGGGCGTGGTGGCGGGTGTCTGTAATCCCAGCTATTTGGGAGGCTGAGATAGGAGAATCGCTTGCACCCGGGAGGCGGGGTTTGCCGTGAGCAGATATCTGGCCATTACAATCCAGCCTGGGCAATAGAGCCAGACTCCATCTCAAAAAAAAAAAAAAATCACACCATTGCCCTTTACCCTGGGCAACAAGAGCAAAACTCCATCTCAAAAAAATAAAAAAAAAAAGTTGTGGCTAGACCGGCCAAGGGTGGGCCATGTCTGGGGCCTGTAATCCCATCCCCTCCCGGAAGATGCTCACTTGTAGCTGTAGAGCAGGAAGCCTTCCAGGAGGAGGATGTGGGTGTCTGAGGCCTCTGGCTGGACGCCAACCCCGTGGGCGCGGGCGAACTTCTGTGGGCTGCTCAGCCAGGCCTGCACGGTGTCCAGCATGGCTGCCATGTCAAGGGATTCCAGCACTGGGCACAGAGAGAGCAGGCATTGCAGGAGGGTGGACCCCGGGGACAGAGGAGCTCGGGGGTCACACGGGTACTGCCATTCTCCTTACCGTCCCACTGTTTGAAGCCGTCTTCCCCAACTGCTATTTGGTCCTGGGGCTGAAACAGAGGAGCCTGAACCTAGGGCTCAGCGCCCAGTCCTACCCCACCCCCGCCCTGGGTGATGGAGTCTTAGGGAGTCCTTGGTGGAGCTGCTGCTAACAGGGTCCGAGGTCCCTGAGGCGTGGGGGATTGGGGCTGGCCCTCAGATTCTCCCCCGATCATCTATCATCTAATTAGCCCTCACCCCCAACCATGCAGCGAGCCAGGCTCAGAGTCCATTTTGCAGATGGCAAAGGTCAGGGGGAGAGGAATAAAGGGCGTTCGCCTAGAAAGCCACAGCCGCTGCCCTGTTGAGGAATGGTGGTTTTCCCGTCTGTCTAATCTAGTTTCCTATTGTAGGGGTGTTCAGTAAAAACGGGCTGGATACAAAATAGGTGCTCAGGAAATGAGAACGCGACACCCATCCCTTGCTCCTGGCCCAGTTTATCCCAGAGACCCCTCAGAGGGGTCAGGCAGGGAGCGGAGCTGGTGCTCAGCCTACACGGGCACTGGGCAGTGGAGGGCGGGGCTTGCCGGGCCTGGCTGCCCACCCTGTGTCCCCTCCTGGCTCCACCTCCCCGGGCGAGGGCGGCCACCTTGTAGAAGTCGTCCTGGTGGATCACGCAGCAGTTGGCCAGGGCTCTCAGCAGGCTGTCGGTCAGCGTGGTCTTGCCGCCGTTGGTCACGCTGCAGAGAGAGCGTGTGTCTGAGGCTGCCCGGCCCCACCCCAGAGAAGGTCAGGGTGCTCAGAAGGGGGCCTGAAGTGCAGCCTGGACTCCCTGGGGCCTGTCCAGGTCTCAGGGTCTTCCTGCAAATGAGCTCCCAGAATTTTTTCTTTTCTTTTTGGAGAGGGAGTTTTGCTCTTGTTGCCCAGGCTAGGGTGTAATGGTGTGATCTCGGCTCAACACAGCCTCTGCCTCCCGGTTTCAAGCGATTCTCCTGCCTCAGCCTCTCGAGTAGCTGGGATTATGAGCACGTACCACCATGCTTGGCTAATTTTGTAGTTTTAGTAGAGATGGGGTTTCTCCATTTTGGTCAGGGTGGTCTCGAACTCCCTACCTCAGGTGATCCATCTGCCTGGCCTCACAAAGTACCAGGAATACAGGTGTGAGCCACCGTGCCTGGCCTTTTCTTTTTTTTTTGAAACAGAGTCTTGCTCTGTCGTCCAGGCTGGAGTGCAGTGGCACGATCTTGGCTCACTGCAACCTCTGCCTCCCAGGGTCAAGCAATTCTCTTGCCTCAGCCGCCTGAGCTGCTGGGGTTACAGGTGCACACCACCATGCTTGGCTAATTTTTGTATTTTTAGTAGAGACGAGGTTTCACCATTTTGGCCAGGCTGGTCTTGAACTCCTGACCTCGTGATCCGCCTGCCTCAGCCTCCCAAAGTGCTGGTGTGAGCCACCGTGCCTGGCCCATCTATCTTTACAGATGAAGAAACTTGAGACCCAAGCCTGAGTTAGTCCCAGCAGGCCTTTAAAAAAATACATTAAAAAAAGCTCCGGCCATGCACGGGGGCTCATGCCTGTAATCTCAGCACTTTGGGAGGCTGAGGCTGGAAGAGTGCTTGAGCTCAGGAGTTCAGGACAAGCCTGGGCAACACCGTAAGACCCCATGTCTACAAAAAATTGAAAACTAGCCAGGCGTGGTGATGCATGCCTGTAGTCCTAGCTACTCTGGAGGCTGAAATGGGAGGATGGCCTGAGCCTGGGAGTTTGAGGCTGCAGTGAGCTGTGATCACCGAACCGCAGTCCAGCCTGGGTGAGAGTGAAATCCTGTCTTTAAATACAAAAATACATAATATAAACAATTTTAGCCGAGCACGGTGGCTCTCTGGGCCTGTAATCCCAGCACTTAGGGAGGCGGGCAGATCACCTGAGGTCAGGAGTTTGAGACCCAACATGGGGAAACCCCGTCTCTAGTAAAAATAAAAAGATTAGCTGGGCATGGTGGTGGGCACTTGTAATCTCAGCTCCTTAGGAGGCTGAGGCAGGAGAATCACCTGAACCAGGGAGGCGGAGGTTGCGGTGAGCTGAGATCGCACCATTGCACTCCAGCCTGGGTAACAAGAGCGAAACTCCGTCTCAAAAAAACAAAACAAAACAAACAACCCCCACATCTTTTAAAAAGCACCAAAATGTTAAGTCAAGTGCAAATGGAGAAACAAAAACATTTACTATAGACAAATTAGTTCATTCTAAACCCTGTAAGCAGCAGTGAGCTTAGGGAAGGATATACACTTGCTGGTAAACAAGAGAAAAAAGGAAAATGAAGGGGAAAAAAAAAAAGCACACAGTGACCAGGTTTGTCCTGGGCTGGCCGGGGAAAACCAGGCGGATGGTGACCCTGTGGCAGAGAGCACCGAGGCTGTCCCATCCTGTGGCTTACAAAGGACAGGCTGACTCTCAGGGTCTTTCTGCAATCCAACATCGTATTCCCCCAGTGATCGCTCTGGTGGGAATTTGGAGCATAAAGCTGACCAGCAGCAGCCCTTAAAAAGGACTGAACTCCGGACACAAGGTCAGGAGTTCAAGACCAGTCTGGTCAATATGGTGAAACCCCCGTCTCTACTAAAAAATACAAAAATTAGCTGGATGTGATGGTGGGCACCTGTAATCCCAGCTATTTGGGAGGCTGAGGCAGGAGAATCTCTTGAATTAGGAAGTCAGAGGTTGCAGTGAGCTGAGATTGCACCATTGCACTCCAGCCTGGGTGACAGAGCAAGACTTTGTCTCAAAAAAAAAAAAAAGAAAAATGGGGGGGAGAGGGAACTGATGGAAAAAGAGGACCCCCATATCATATCCGGAAGAAGCAGATTAGAAAATGTCTGATACTGGTCAGGCATAGTGGCCCCTGCCTTGTAGTCCCAGCACTTTGGGAGGCCGGTACCTCCGACCTCAAGTGATCCATCCGCCTCAGCCTCCCAAAGTGCTAGGATTCCAGGCCTGAGCCACTGCACCCGGCCTATTGATTTTTGTTTTTTTATGCTGAGTATAACTGAAGGGTGGTGGGAATCATTTCCATTTAAAAAACGAAAGATTGGGCTAAGCATCCAGCCCTCTCCCCACTGGGGGCACAGAGGCCCCCAGGACAAAAAACTCCTCCCTACACTCAGACCTTGGGCGTCAGGAGTTTGAGACCAGCCTGGCTGACATGGTGAAACCCTGTCTCTACTAAAAATGCAAAAGTTAGCCAGGCATGGTGGCGCGTGCCTGTAGTCCCAACTACTCGGGAGGCTGAGGCAGGAGAATTGCTTGAACCCGGGAGGCAGAGTTTGCCGTGAGCCGAGATGGCGCCACTGCACTCCAGCCTGGGTACAGAGTGAGACTCCTCTCCAACAACAAGCACCACCCCCCTCAAAAAACAAAAATAGGAAATTCAAGAGGGAGGCAGGCCAGCATTAGACCAAGCTCCCGTCCCTTCTGAGGCCGGGGTGTCAGCCCCACAAAGCCAGCCCTGCTTGTTACAGAGAGTTGAAATCTCCTCTAGCCTGAGGTCGTTTGAGAGAGGCTTCAAAGGCACAGTCACGTGGAATGACATTTTGGGGACTCCACCCCACCTGCCCACGTGTCAGTCCCCAATTTAGCCACGACAGCCGGGAGGCGGGAGGAGGGTTTGCCGGAGCTTTAATTCCCTATCCCTACGGATATTTATTTATTTTTTCTCTGAGATGCAGTCCTGCTCTGTCGCCCAGGCTGGAGTGCCGGATCTCGGCTCACTGCAGCCTCCACCTCCCCAATGCAAGCAGTTTTCCCACCTCGGCCTCCCCAGCAGCTGGGATTACAGGCATGCACCACCGAACTAGACTAATTTTTGTATTTTTAGTAGAGACGGGGTTTCACCCTTTTGGCCAGGCTGGTCTCAAACTCCTGACCTAAAGTGATCCACCCGCTTTGGCCTCCCAAAGTGCTGGGATCCCAGGCCTGAGCCACGGCCAAGGCCTATTGATTTTGGTTTTTTCTGCTGAGTATAACTGAAGGGTGGCGGGAATCATTTCCATTTAAAAAAGGAAAGATTGGGCTAAGCATCCACCCCCTCCCCAGTGGGGGAACAGAGGCCCCCAGGGCAAAAAATCCTCCCTACACTCAGACCTCAGGCGGCGGGCTGGCGACCTCAGGCGCCAGGCATCCCTCCATTAATTCCTGGGCCACCCCGCACCGGCGCTTACCCTCCGATGCCCACGATGAGCTTCATGCTGGTGCAGAGGGGCGACTGGGACGACTTCCAAGGCAGCCCGGGCTGGGCGCGACCAGGCAGTGCGCTCCGGAGCGCGTCCCAGCTTCATTGAGAAAACCTGGCACCTTTATAGGTCTCGGCAGCCTGGAGGCCGCCACGGGGGAGGCGGCCCGTGGCGGGGAGCGGGGCGGGGGGGAGGTCGTGGGGAGGAGGCTCTGGCACCTGTTCCCAACGAATGGAAAGAGCTCCAGGCTGCCTTTTGCCTAAATTAGTCAGGAGCTGGCCGGGCAGGGGGCTGCCTCTTCCCTCCCGTCTCCCCCCACTTCCCCCCACCTCCCTCTTCCTCCCTCCTCCTCTTCCACTCCCTCCTCTCCTCCCCTTCCTCCCTCCTCCCTCCTCTCCAGCCCCACCCCCTGCCCTCTTCCTGGCCAGAGCTCAGGTCAGCAACCCCACACTTTCTCCTCCCTAAAAATATCCCACTCCCTGTGTCCTCTGGCCTGACCCTGACATTAAGACTGGTTCTCCGCGATGTCAAGGAAGAGAACTCAGCCACCCCGCTCTCACAGCAGCCCTAGAGGCCGGGCCCTCCGGGAGCTTCCTTTGCCGAGGAGGTGAAGGCCAAGGTGGGCTTAAGATCCTTAGCAGTGAATCACAAGATAGCTTGCCCTGGTGACTGACCGGAGCCCGCCACAAGATCTCAGCGTGACAACAGGGGCCATTCATGGTGTGGCTGAAGTCACTTGACTGGGTGGGGGGGCCAAGGGGAGGAATGACATGCTGTTACTCCTCCCTTGTACTGGTAAGTGGAAAAAGTATTCTTTTATTACGTTTTTATTGTATTTTATTTTAATATGAGACAGAGTTTTACCCTTTCACTCAGGCTGGACTGCAGTGGCACCATCTCGGCTCACTGCAACCTCCACCTCCTGGGTTCAAACGATTCCCCTGCCTCAACCTCCGGAAGTAGCTGGGATCACAGGAGGGCTCCACCACACCCAGCTCCTATTTTTGTGTTTTTAGTAGAGACCGGGTTTCACCATGTTGGCCAGGCTGGTCTCAAACTCCTGACCTCAGGTGATCTGTCCACCTCGACCTCCCAAAGTCCAGAGTGCTGGGGTCACAGCACTTTGTAAACCACCAAGCCTGGCCTACATTATTTATTTATTTATTTATTTTTTTGGAGACGGAATCTTGCTCTATTGCCAGGCTGGAGTGCAATGGTGTGATCTCAGCTCACTGCAACCCCTGCCTCTTGGGTTCAAGCCATTCTTCTGCCTCAGCCTCCCGAGTAGCTGGGACTATAGGCATCTGCCACTACGCCCCGCTAATTTTTGTGTTTTTAGTCGAGATGGGGTTTCACCATGTTAGGCTAGTTTTAAACTCCTGACCTCAGGTGGTCTGCCTGCCTTGGCCTCCCAAAGTGCTTGGAATAGACGTAAGCCACCATGCCTGGCCTACATTTTTTAATTTTTTGAGACAGGGTCTCGCTCTGAGGCCCGGGCTGGAGCGTGGTAGTGTGATCACGGCTCACTGTGGCCTCAACCTCTCAGACTCCAGTGATCTTTCTGCTTCAGCTTCCCGAGTAGCTGAGACTACAGGTTCGCATCACCACGCCTCACTTTTTAATTTCTTGTAGAGATGGGGTCTTGCTATGTTGCCCAGGTTGTTCTTGAACTCCTGGCCTCAAGTGAGAATTCCCCTGCCTCGACCTCCCAAAGTGCTGGGATTACAGGCATGCGACGCCTTTCCCAGCCGGAAAATAATTTTTCTGATGCCTTTTTTTTTTTCAGACGGAGTTTCGCTCTTGTTGCCTAGGCTGGAGTGCAATAGCTTGATCTTGGCTCGCTGCAACCTCCACCTCCTGGGTTTGAGAGCAATTCTCCAGCCTCAGCCTCCTGAATGGCTGGACTACAGGCATGCACCACCATGCCCGGCTAATTTTTGTATTTTTAGTAGAAATGGGGTTTCGCCATGTTGGCCAGCATGGTTTTGATCTCTTGACCTTGTAATCTGCCTGCCTTGGCCTCCCAAAGTGCTGGGATTACATGCGTGAGCCACCAAGCCTGGCCCTCATTTTTAAGAGATGAGGTCTCCTGCCAGTAATCCCAGCACTTTGGGAGGCCGAGGCGGGCAGGTCATGGGATTACAGGCCTAAGCCACCACACCTGGCCAATCATGTACTTTGTGAGTCCTCTTTACAGAATTGTGAGCCTGGCCTTTATGAGCTCTTGCAAAATGGACCGGAAATCTTGGGATCTTCATGAGAAAAGCTCAGAGAAGCAGTAAGTCACAGGGTCTGTGGCTGTGTGGCGGGGTGGCTGTGTCTGTGGCCTGAGTTCAAGCAGGCTCCCCGCAGAGCCCGACCCCTGGGCTTCACCTCTGACCCAGTTTTGGTGGCAAGAATTTCCTGGGAGCCTCTTGGTGGGGCACGTGGCCCAGGACCTCAGGTGACAGTGACATGCTCAGATAAAGGCCCTGGCAGGGCACCTCTGGGAGGGCTCCCTGTGCCAATCCACCCCGGCGGGAAGGACAGGGAGGAGGCACAGGGGCTACCAATACCTGCCAGACCCCAAGCAGTCTCAGCTCCCAGGGCGTTAATTATAGACCTCATTGCTATACGGTTCGTGATCCCGTTTACATAAAATGTCCAGGACTCGCCAATCCACAGGGGCAGGAAGGGGTGGCCTGGGTGCCAGGGGCCGGGGTGGGTGGGTGGGGATGATTGTTGCTGCTGGGGACGGATTTACTTTTGGTGTAATGGAATATTCTGGAATTTGATAGAGGTGGTCTTTGCAAAACATTGTGAAGGTACAAAGCACCAAAGAATGTACTCTTAAAAATGGTTCATTTTGGCTGGATGCCATGCTCACGCCTGTAATCCCAGCACTGTGGGAGGCCAAGGCGGGCAGGTCATGAGGTCAAGAGATCGAGACCATCTGGTCAACATGGTAAAACCCTGTCTCTACTAAAAATACAAAAATTTTAGCTGGGCATGGTGGCGCATGCCTGTAATCACAGCTACTCAGGAGGCTGAGGCAGGAGAATTGCTTGAACCTGGGAGGTGGAGGTTGCGGTGAGCCAAGATCGTGCCATTGCACTCCAGCGTGGGCAACAAGAGCGAAACTCCATTTCAAAAGAAAGAAAAGAAAAAAGGTTAATTTTAGCTGGGCGCAGTGGCTCACGCCTGTAATCCCAGCACATTGGGAGGCCGAGGCCGGCGGATCACCTGAGGTCAGGAGGTTGAGACCAGCTTGACCAACATGGAGAAACCCTGACCCTACTAAAAACCATGAAAGTAGCTGAGTGTGGTGGCGCAAGCCTGTGATCCCACCTAACTAGGGAAGCTGAGGCAGGAGACTCACTGGAACCCGGGAGCCAGAGGTTTCATTGCACTGAGATCATGCCATTGCGCTGGGCAACTTCATCTCAGAAAAA